GAAAGAGATCTCAGAGTATCTGTAGTCTCCTCCATGATCAGGGAATGAGAAAAAGTCTAAGGCGAGCAGTTAGATCTCAACAACATGCCTGAATCCCTGCCCCCTAGATCCACAGCTGGGCTCCCTGTGCTGCAAGGGCAGCAGCACAAATACACGAGCCACCTTACGTGCAGAAAGGAGGTAGGGGAAGGACAAGGTAGATGTTTGTGTCTAAAAAGTGACCTTGTAGGGGCACCTGGGTGGCTCTGTGGGTTAAAGCCTCTGCCTTCGGCTCAGGTCATGATCCCAGGGTCCTGGGATCGAGCTCCACATCGGGCTCTCTGCTCAGCAGGGAGTCTGCTTCCCTTCCTCTCTCTCTGCCTGCCTCTCTGCCTATCTGTGATCTCTGTCAAAAAAATAAATAAAATCTTAAAAAAAAATAAAAATAAAAAGTGACCTTGTAATTAGGTAATCTTGCTTGGAGATTGCTGGGATTTCAGAACCAGTTTGAGACATTTAAATATTTAGCTTCCACATGTGGTCTGAGACTTTTAAGACCGAAACTGTAAAGAGAGAAAACCCTTTAAGTTCACAAAGGCATTACTAAATTAATATACATGTGGGTCTAGTCATTTAAAAGGAACAATGAATTGGTAAAAATAAACCAAGTGTTTCTGAATTCTAGAGATTTTTTTTAAGTAACTTCCTATTCAATAAGTTTTGGGAATCAGGGGCCGATAAACAGAGCCGGACACATAGTAAGTGTGTGGTGCACACTGTGTGTGCTGACTGATTGATTATAGGGCCCCGAATTATGGCTTCAGTGAGTAAAATAGAGTAGGATCATCTCTCTGAAATGATAAAGGGAAAGGTATGCCTGGATCCTTTGGGAGGAGTAACATCCAGTGACCTATTCATGCTGTTGTGTCCCCAGTGGGCTTGGGTTGATGGCCCAGTTGGACAAAAGGCAGGGGCACAAACTAGGGCTTTTCATACACAGCTCTTTGGGGCCAGTTACATGATTGATCCTCATGGGATCTGTGAATAACCCAGCCTAAAGTTCAGCCCTTCTCATTCAGGACGTAACGAGAAGAGTGAGGGATCCAGGACTAAAGGAAAATGAACCCAGACATATCCTTAGACCTTCTTGGCCACTTAAAAACAACCACACTGAGTTGACGTTTTCCCCCTTTGAAATACGGAATCCTTTAATAAAGGAATACTTAACTCTGTAAAGTAATGCCATTTGTTTCTTGAATTTTAATAAGTTCTACTAAATAGGTGGCAAAGCCGTCTCTGTTGGCATTCGGACACTTTGGATAGTACGGGATGAAAAACAACTGAATTCAATACATGTGTCAGCTGTACTTATGAAATAAAATTATGTATTCCGGCAGTGATTCAACAGTAAGGTGTGTGGGAGTGTCTGGATGTCAAGAACTGTTTTTAAGAGGTTGCAGATGCTTTTTAGGTGGCCAGGAGGAAAAGTCTGAATAGAAACTCTGACCCTAAGAATACAGGCCGTTCCGACTTCGAAGCAGGTTGTGTTCCGAGACTGGCTGATCATAAATGGCTTGTTTGGCACTTGAGCTTTCTCTTTCTGGAAAGAGGGCAACAGAAGGAGAATCCCTGAGTCCAGGGGCTTTAGAAGAAAGAGGCGTCCCAGTGAGAGAGAAGAAAACCCAGAGGTCCTTAGCCCTGAAGACGGGGGACAAAAGTTCTAGACACAACCTGACGTGTCAGGACAGGCCACTCATGGGGAAAGTGTGCAGTTCTTTGAGAAGATATAAATGAGATCTTTCCAAATGTTCATCTTTGGGCAAGTTACTGCATTGAAAACAAGACAAGTTCTACCAACCTCCCCTGCACGATTGGTGTCACATATGTTATTTCAGTCCGACATGTCCAAATTCTCTGTGTCCTACCAAATTTACTCCCCCTCTTCTTGCCTCAGTCCTGTTCAACCAATTGATTACCACGTCCTACACTTTTGAACCTCTAAAATCTCTCCTGAATGTTTCCATTTCCCTCTACCCCCACGGCACTACCCTCGACCCAGCCACACTGTCCCTACGACCATGGGACACTTAAATGTGCCATACTCCCTCCTGCCTAGACAGTCTCCTTAGGGATAGCCCCCAGCCCATTTATTATTCTCCCCTAATCCATTCTTGACAGGCAAGAGCTCTTGAGAGCTCTTAAAAACACAAATCTAATCTCCCAGCTCCTGCTTAAAATCATTCAAGAAGGTGTCATTGCCCTTTGGATAAGAATCAAACATGAATTTTAAAGCCCTGCATTATGGGACCCCTACCAACTCCTTCACCTTCATTAGTAAGTTTCTTTCCCTCCTGCCCATATCCCAGCTAGTCCAACCTCTTTAGGTCTTTTCAGTGCGCCACACTCCTCCCTTCCCCAGGCCCAGCCACAAAACAGTCCCTGGCCTTGGAACACTTTTCCCTCATTGTACCCTCTTTCACCTGCAAAATCCTACTAATGATACTTAGCTTGGGTTTCCTTACCCTCTCTATAGGGTGTAGGGCGACTTTGACCCCATTGTTTGTTAGGATTTCAGAGGCAACACCCAAAACCTCCCCCCTCAAAGTACTTTATTGTGGTTACTAGCTCTGTTTTCTGATTTCCCTGCAGACTAGCAGGCTGGCGCCTTAGGAAATGTGGTGGTGAGGAGTGCCAATCCTGGGTTGTATTGGTTATATTTGGGGCTCTGTCCCCATATTTGTTGGTGAAGTCGCTTACCATTTTATGCCTCAGTTTCCTCTTCTCTAAAAAGAATAGTGCCCGCCTCATAGTTACTGTGTTAAATGAATTAATGTATACCCATATGCTTGTAAGTGCACTCGTAAAAGCCCTGCTTAATTAAGTGCATTTACTGCTGCATAGAAAATAAGTCTTTGATAAATTGAGATGCACACAGAACAGGTACTTAACCAAATGCAAACATGTTGCAGTTTTGTTTTGCTTTTGGAAAAGACTAAGGCTGTCATCCTGAAAGCCACTTTCTCTTTTTCTTTGTTTCCCATTAGCTTTATAAAATTTGTGAATCAAAAGTAAAAAATGTTAATACTCTGCTTGCTTCCCCATTTGCTCCCCGCACCCCACCCCCCTGCCACCTCCTCCCAGTCTGGGTTACCTTTAGGTGTGATGTAGAGATGTAAAGTGGAGAAATGGACAAAGAAAATCTGACTTTCACAGAACCTGCCTTTCTGTCAACTCAGAGGGATCTCTTGCCTTGTTAGTTGTAAATTCTGCCCAGGCCCAAGGGTCCTCAGTCCTTGCCTGTGTCTCAGCCTGCCCCTGCGGAGGCCGAAGGCTGGAAGTCCAGTATGAGGAGGCCTGAGCACCCTGTTCTTTAAACAGAGACAGAGCGGTAGAATGCAAGCAAATTAAAGCCTTCTCAGTGCTTCCCTGCCCCCCCATTGTTGTTTGTTGTTGTTTTGAAGGCGTTGCTAAATACACTTCAAAGGGAAAAGGACACATGAGGGCAGCATGGGTTATGTGACATTTTGAAAAGGTCTTTAGAGGAGATGACAAAACAAAGAGCTTCCCACTCTCTTGGGCACTAAGTTTTTGTGCAAACTGTGAAAACCCAGTAAACATTGTACCGGGCCACTGATGGTGTGTGGGTGTCCTTATCACCCAGGTAGTCACCAGGTCTTAGAAGTTATTGTCATTTTGATTTTCGGATGAGTCACTGGGCCTCTTGCCCCCCAGGCACTTCATTCTGATTCAGAGCCAAGGACCGAGAGCTCCAGCTTCCGGGAATCCGTGGTGTCGGGGGTGGGGGCTGCTGGTGGCTCCGCTGTGGCATGAGGCTTAATTGACACCTTTGATGTAGCCTAAGACAGAACCCGCACCTCCCACTGCTGCTTGGAAGACGTCAGCCTTACGCAGAGAAGGCATCTGCTGATGAATCCTGCGTCTCATTCAGCCTGCTCTGGGAGCAGCCTTAGCCATCCTTAACTAATCCAACTGCCTTCCCGTTCCGCGGGCGCTCGGCTTAGTGCTGAGAAGGGATCTCGCCTCTTGCTCTTGCCAGGTTAAACCCTAAGACTGTGTCCATGTTAGAACTCATAGAAGGTAAGTTCAATGCATTCTTGCTCTCCTTCATGGAAAAGGTTTCTTGTGCACCCTCAATAGTGTGTGTGTGGCTCGTGGCTAATAATTCTCCTTTGCTGATTGTGGATATAAAACATATGAAAATGTTGTCCTGTGTATGGGTGGCAGAGTGGCAACCTCATTTAGCTTTAAAAAGCCATGTTTCCGGAGTGTGTGATCAGTGCCTAGAGGTGATAGGACTCAGAAAAGAGAATTGCTTACTTGAGTTCTGTGGCTTTGATGGCATTTAGTGATCATGTTGTATAAAAAGTCTGGAGAGTCGGGGAGAATTCCAGTGATTTAAACCTATCAGAAAGCAGCTTTTCTTTTCAGGAGCAGTGAAGACAGACTGCAAGGAGTTCCTGAGTGTCTGTGACAATTAGTTTGTCCCGTTGAAGGCAGGTCCTTCAGAGTTAGGCGAGAGGGGTATATAGGGCACAAGTGGATACGGGAGCTACTAGAAGTGAGTTCTTAACTGTAAAAAGAAAGGGTCTTTTTTTTCAACAAGGCACTAGGAAAATCACTTGTGAGCTTTTCTAATATTTACTCCTACTGGGTGGTGCTGGGAAGCTAAACTACAGAATTAAGGGTGAATCCCACTGAAAATGTCTCAGGACCTTAACCACGTCTACCAGTGCAGTTAATAAATTCATCGGGAAAGTTGTCCCGAGTACGTGTTTAAGCATTTTTGTGTAACCTGATGCTATAATTAGCATAGGATTGACAAAACCATGAATTTCTGAAGAAGATTATTCCCGGAAGCTGTTTTTCAGGACGACAGATAGAAAGGTGTCCGGAATTTTAGCAAATGTCCCTCTATAATTGCTTGTTTCTCGGAGAAGATGATGTGTCATGAAAAATTTTTAACAAGCCGTTTTTTTCTCTCTGTGATTCTTCGCTTCTAGTTAATGGAACCCCTGGTAGTCAGCTGTCTACTCCACGCTCGGGCAAGTCGCCAAGCCCATCACCCACCAGCCCGGGAAGCCTGCGGAAGCAGAGGGTAAGGAACTAAGCAAGCTCCTTGTTTAAGACCTGCCTGAGCTTCCGTGCAGAATGACACAGGGGCCAGCTCCCACGAGCCCTGCTTGTCTCTAAGTAATAACCAGGTGAGGGCAGGCGGTGACCAGTGGCGGGTCACTTACGGTGACTATGGTTTCTCTTAGCTAGAACTCGGGGTTTTTATTTTCTCTCAATTTGTCCGTAGCTTAACTCTGTGAAGAGCCAACAGTTGCTGCCTCACTTTTAAACACGCCACCTCTTTTTTGTCCTGAATGGGCAAAGACGTTATTGGCACTGGTTTGCAAGCTTCCTTGGTTGTGATGAGTTTCATTAGACCTCATCGCTGACCATCAGCCTTCCTGAAGAAGGAAAAGGAAAAGAAGTGTCATTTCGGAGAAGGGGGCCATGGTGGGGAATTGCTTTCTGGCACAGAATGGTGGTCCCACCAGCTTAGGGTCCGTGGCTCAGGGGGATGGGTACAGATGACATGTGTATTTGTGAATGAAACCCTCATCAAGCGCCTTCTCTTTCATCACTTATTTATTTATTTATTTATTTATTTATTTTATTAGCTTTTTGTGTAATGTTAGAGAAGTTGACTGAGCTTGGAGACCAAAGTCAAAAAGTTACTGGAAAGAGTATTCGTTTCTCCACGCCTAGGGATGGGGAAGAACTACAGTTCTTATCCCCTCACAGCCTGCACTGTGTGTCTTCTCCAGTAATACTGCGGGATTAAAGGGCTGGGAAGGTGCCAAGGAGAGGAAGGTGCAGAGGAGGGAACGGAAGGCCTTTTACTGTCCTGATTTCACGAGCAAGGTGGGGAGGAACACGTGCTCTTGGGAGGTTTTCTGGTGGTGCTCGCTGAACATTTTAATAAGAAAGGGCTCCTCGGAGGCTTCTGAACCCAGAGACTGGATTCTTAGTTTGCTTTCTTTTATTATGTGCTTTAAAATGAAACTTCTAAGTTCCATAACTTTAAACTGCATCCAGGATGGAAGCTCTTCTCTTCAAGCCTCCCGCAAGCTTGCGTCCACGTGCCGCTGTCTAAAAGCAGGGGCGGGGGACTCGGTCGGACCCCGGTCCCTTTGGCACCTGGCCCACCAAGTGTCAGGTTGTGCTGTCTTTCTCCACGGAGCCTCCTGGCCTCAGGTGTCGAGGGTTTAGATTCTCTGACGAGGCCTGAGCTTTGGCACCGGGTCCTCCACTAAATGGCTGTTACCTTCGATAAGTCTGTTATCCTCTCCAAGTCTCATTTGGAAAAACAAAATGAGAAAGAGGCTCTTTCCAGATAGAAAACACAATTCTTCCATTCCATCTGAGTGTTTTCCCTATGAGTTTGTTGTTGGCCACAGTCTGGTTTGGCGTTTTCAAGTACAGGAATCATTAGCGAACTACTAAAAGAAGAACTGGCAGAATTCAGGGAGGCCCCTAAGCGTCTACCCTTGAGTGGAGGAAGGGGAAGGAGGGTATTTTCTAGTACATGTTACCTCGTAAGGCCCCCTTCTGTAGGGGCAGTCATATACAGCACAGGTCGTGCTCTTCCCAAGAATAGTCTCTCTTTTGGAGTGTCTGCTTTAGTACACCGGGCATACTAATCCCTCTCCATCCTTTGAGCAAATTAAACTCAGATTCGGGATCAAGTTCATGTTTAGTTGCTGAAACTAAATTATGGTGACCGAGAGTCCTTGCCATGGATTTGAGCTTCTCTCCCTGCTTGCTAATTGTGGAGACCTCCATCGTGGGGATACAAAGTGCTTTGCCCAACTGTCCCTGTGTTGGCAGAACGAGGCTAGAGTTTACTTCTTCTGCCCTCGGTACTCTCGGTGTCACTATGATTTTGTCCAGATGAGGCAGGACATTTCTCTCCAGTGACTAGCAGCTGTGTGGCCAGTGGCTTCTATAATTAACATCACCAGCACTTGGGAAATGATTATAAGGGGTGGTTCTCTTGTAGCTTCTTCACTGTGGCATTTAAACTACCAGTGCAAGCATCTACTTGAGAGGGAAAAATAATCCCATTTGTTTCAGGGAGACAAAGGGTTGATCCTCATCTGAAAACACTTATTGAGCACATGTTGTAAGCAGAGCATTGGATAATTCAGAGGTGGTTCAGTTTCCAGGCTTTTAAATTTAGGCCATAAATGAACATCCTCCATCCATGTACCATGTCAGTGCGCAGACATTCCCAGCTGCTTTAGCAAGAGAAGCTTTCATCTTGGTGTGGAGGCAACTACATCAAATAACCCCGCCCAGTTAAAATGGGCCTAGAATATCCCTAAAAACTGATCCTGTTTCAAATTTGGTTAATGTTCTTCTCAAATGGTTGGCTATACTCCTATGCAGGAAATACTGAAATAAATGAAAGATGGCAAGTGCTAAAAGAAGAGACTTCAAAGAATAAATTAACTCTTTTTATTGCAAATTGGAAAACAGTAGCTAGTTCTATTTTTTCTTCTGTGTTGCCTAGCAACATGGCCAGGAAAATGAGTTGGCTGTGCACCTCCCAACACACACACACACACACACAAATACACACTCTTACACTGCCTACTTCGCTTTAAAAAATAAGAATGTATTTCTTAATTTTTAAAGGACTATCAAGACATTTGATCACTTTCTTCACAATTAAGAAACTATTTTATCTATGTTAATTATGATGACTTAATCAGCTTTTTTTTCCCTTCTTTCAAAATCATATTTTTATGTTACAGCTTTGGGGATTTTAGAGTAGTCATATACAATAAGAGTCTGCGGGCCAGATATTTCTCTTCATAAAAGCATTGGTGGCAATGTACCAAACAACCTCCCTATTTTTCCAAAACACTGTTATTTAAATTGCTGTCTAGAAGCATTTAACTGGTCACAGAAGCAGATCTCAGAGGATCTTTTCCATCCATGAATTTTCTGGGGTCTTATTTCTTAATACATCAGGAAGAAATGTGGTGTGGTGTGTAGGTTGAATGAAGCTCCCCATTATACTCCCACATGGCTGACTTGTGTAGATTATCTGATCAGTCAGATGATGTGAGGAGTGGGTGGTACAAAATAGAAAAGAAGCCAGGATTCTAGACCGTCTGCAGATCTGAGCTGGTTGCCTGGCTACCAATTGAGAGATCTCCTAGCAGAAAGGGGCGGAGGGAGAAAAAAAGGAGGTGATTGGTAAGTGGTTGGAGAACCGGAAGAACATTGAGAAGGGAAGGTGAGGTCAAGCTTGCATTTTTTCTGTCTTCCAAATAAAAAATTTTGGAGAGACAGTTTTTACTGGGTTAATGTTAACGCGCAAGGCAAATGAACACTGGGGTTACTGCTCTGTGACCAGAATTTGCTGAATGCCTTCTGGGGTTCCTGACAGATTATTTTGTGAGGTAAGCACACTCCTCTTCCCCCTACAATGGGAAGAAAATGTTCAAGGAAGAATCGCCTAGACACGTAGTAGTGGAGTTGGCTTGGACAGCCATCAGGGGTTATAAAACTCAGCAGGACACAGAAGGCAATAGCTCAGAAGCAGTTCAAGCCAATAAGGCAAAATAAGCACCATTTATATCTGTTTAAATGGTTTCTCAGTCATTACCTTTCCTCTGACCCAAATTTGGAGATTCTAAAAGGTCTGATGACATTAGAAACCAAGGATGCTCATTCATTATAGCTCCACTCCTAAGAGAGCCCCAAGGCACCCAAAAAAGCCAAGTAAACAAATCTATACCGCCCTTCATCTTACAGGACCTGTATCGCCCCCTCTCTTCGGATGATTTGGATTCAGTAGGAGACTCAGTGTAAAAGAGACAATGGAGCAATGTATATGGTTTGTGATTGGGTGAAGGTGTTTCACATTTTCTAAGAAAAGTCTAACAGCAAAATACACAAAAGAGTTTTGCATACCTTGAAATTATGAACTCAAATCATATAAAAGTAAACACACACACATTTTATAGTCATGATGTTAATCCTTGGAGATTTTTTTTATATGTGTATTTCCTGCATTGATTTGATTGGGGGAGCTCAATTGTTTAGGTTTTTTGTTTTGTTTTGTTTTGGTTTGGTTTGGTTTTTTGTGCAAGGCCTGGCTTTTGATGAATTTCATATATGGACCCAATATTGAGTACAAGAACAAGCTAATGATAGAATATAAGGTCATAATTTCTGCAGATAGGGTTTTCATTTAATCATAAGTAGACATATAGATACAATTTTTCCTGTACTTTTGGTCAGGCAAATTAAAATGGCACCAACAGACATTTTTTTTTTCCTTAAAGCTATATTCTTTTGAAAATTTGGATTGCTGATTTTTTAAAGCAACTTCTATGGCAAAATAATTAAAAATACTCAAGTCAATTTTTTTTTTTCTTCCTGGACAGTAGACAAAGCTACCTAACATTTTGTGGGTTGATATATCTGAGGAGAAACACTCATGTTAAGGACATATCTCACGAAGACTCTAACATTAGGTGTTAGGAACTTTCCTTGCTTTTTTTTGCCAAGCAAATTTTCTTAAACTTACCTTTTTATTGGAAGCAGCATAAATATAGATTAAACAATATACCAACATGAAGAACTTGTTCAGTGTCATTGCTATGAATTAAAACCAAATATGTAATTTTTCAAATGTGAAATGGCTGAAACTAGAAAAAAAAATTTTTTTAAACACACAGGCTTAAAAAAATAGTGTCTGGATTTTTTCTAAGAAGAATCAATTTAAAAGCAAAATTCTCTTAAATGGTGCTATATAAATCAGGCCTTCAATATCCAAATCTCCATTTAGAGAAGTCCTGATGTTTTGGAAATTTTCGTATGCAAAACTCCCTTTGTGTTAAACCAAGTAAGTCTATGATTATAACCCATTGTTTAACATTAACCTACTAATTCTGCTCTTCTGGTCCTCTGTTTTAAAAATCATAGTCAACTTTGCTTAAATATAAAATAATTATTTTAAAATCTGAATGTTAAAAATTAATTTAATGTGTATGGTCTATTGTATGTAAGCCATACCCTAGTGATCATTTA